GAAAACTGAATCGAGTGTTTTACCATTACCCAAGAGCCAGTCTGCTTGAGCGAGAGCTGGAGCCAGGACTGAGGCTGGCTGGTGTATGGTGGTATCCCCAGCTGCTGGCTCAATCCCCATCAATCTTGTGAATGACCATCTATATTACAAGTCCCAAATGAATGCCTAGCCTCTGCCTGTTCTGATTTCCTTCTGTGTCTTAGTTATTTTTCTCTCCCTGCTGAGACAAAATACCCAACACCTAAAGTTAAAGGAGGAAAGCTCTATTTAGCTCACAGTTTGTAGAGGTTTCAGTCCATGGTTGGCTGGCTCCAAGGTAGAGGGACATCACAGAGGAGAAACAGTTCAATGCACACAGAAGACAGCAAATGCAACAAGGGCTTTAACAGCGTCTTTCTGCCCCTTTTATCTTCTCCAAACAATTTAGGATAGGCAGCACTCACAGCCTTAATCCTAGTGCCCTGGAGCCTAGCACTGTACCAATGAATTAATTCCAGTGTCACACACTCTAGATTCAGCCACCTCTGAAAAAGCCCCACCTATGACCTCATGAGGCTTTGAGGGGAAAAGAAAACACAAGCCATAACACTCTGTCCCTGCCCCATTGAAGACTCAGGCATATTCCTTCATGCAAAAAAAACATTTAGTGGATCTCCAAGAGTTGCCAAAGTCCTAACAGTTTCAGCATTGCTGAAAAGTCCAAGTCCAAAGCTCCTCTAACATTTAAGGCAAATTCTTAGCTGCAAGCCCCTGTACAAATGAAAATAAAGTTAAACACTTCCAACATTCAAGGGCACAAGACATTTGCATTCCAAAAGTTACAAGCAGGGGATACAAAAAAATGGGACAAAAGCAAGACCAAAATCTAGCAGAGCAAATATTAAATCCCACAGTTTCACTTCCAGCATCCCAGGAAATGTGTGACCAACTGTCAGCTCCGAAGGGCTTGGGTAGCTCCACCTCTAGGTCACTGCCGATGATTATAGCTCCCATGGCATCTCTGTGACAGGCTCTTCTTCCTCCTTGCAGTTTTCCTCATAGGATCCATGCTCCTGGCTTCTCCAAACCTCTGGAGTTTCCACTGCACCTTCGGCTTCACTGCTCTCTCAGGGTCACCCTGCCTGGCCTCCCAGGCCTTCTTCTGAAATCTGGGTGGAAGCCCTGCTGACCCCACAACTCTTGCATTCTGCATGCACCTGAAACCAGTACCACATGGATGATGCCAAGGTCTGGGGCCAGCTGGAGCAGTAGCCAGGCTTCCTTCTCTCTTGGCTTTAGAAGTCCAGTGCCTATGAACCAAATGCGGAGGAACACATTCTCTAGGCCACTGACATTTTGGAACATAGCGCTCTAGGGCTTTCTTCTCAAAGCAATGTCTTTCACTTTTGCGATTTTGAGGTTGCAAAGGGTGGAGTCCTGCTGCTTCTTGTGATGCCCTCAGGTCTTCTTTTCTATTCTCCTGTTCCTTCTCAGCAATCAAGATCTCTTCTGCTCTCCTTCATATTTCACAGCTTTACTAGAGCTTGCATTCTGGCCAAAATCAAAACATTTTAAATCATTCTGGTGGGTCTCTGCTCCTGATTTTCAACATAGATCTGGCTAAAAGCCGCCAACAGCAGCCGTGCCATGGCCTCAACATTAGGCTGCCCTGAAATTTCTTCTGCCAGATTAGTTAGTCCACTCCTTTTAATCTTGGTCTCAGGAAAAGTCTGGACACAAGCAAAATGCAGACAAACTTTCTGCCAAGGGATAACACACACTATCTGGAGTCCAATAGCCAATGCAGTCCTTCTTCCCAGCAGAAACTTCCGGAGCCCAGTCTTTACCAGCATTTTTTTTTTCTCATTGAGTTTATTGGTACTTTTCAGCATACAGTACAGTTACATTTATCATTGAAATCTTGTACCTTTACATGAACGATCTTGCTTCTTTTTTTCCCCATACTTTACCAGCAATTTTAAAAATCAGCATGCTGGTCTTCTGAGCCCTGACCAGAATTTCCCATCAAGTACAGCCTAAGGCATTCCAACTCTACTTTTTCAGCAGTCATCTCCAAACCTTTTCTAACTCTTTCTCTTCCACAAGCCAGTTCCAAAGGCTCTTGAGCCACATGGGTAGGTAATGTCACAGCAACCCCACTCTCAGTACTAATTCTTAGTTACTTTTCTCTCCTCTCTGAGAAAAAATACCTGACATCCAGAGTTAAAAGTGGAAAGGTTTATTTAGCTCACAGTTTGTAGAGGTTTCAGTCCATAGCTGGCTGGCTCCAAGGCAGAGAGGCACATGGCAGAGGGGCATCACGGAGGAGAAACAGTTCATTGCACACAGAAGATAGAAAAGGCAACAAGAGAACTTAACAACTCCTTTCTGCCCCTTTTACCCTCTCCAGACTACTTATGGCAAGTAGCACTCACACCCTTAATCCTAGTGCTCTTGAGCCCAGCACTGCACCATGAATCCAGTGTCACACACTCTAGATTCAGCCACCTCTGAAAAAGCGCCACCTATGACCCAGTGAGGCTTTGGGGCGACATCCAGACACAAGCCATAATAATGGCCCCTCACACTTAGAGACAGGAGGATGACAGCCAAGCCAAAGGTCCAGAGTCCCCCCTCGTGGTGTCCTGTTCCCCACCCCACCCTGCACCCCAGGCTTAAGAAGTCCCACAGAATCGTTTGTCAACCTCTGACGGCATAGCCTGTCTAGGCACCGAGTTGGTTGAGAATTCTGGAAGATCACTGGCCAGGTGGAGACCCCAGATCCACCATGCACGCTAGAAATGTGGAGTATAATCCTCTTTCCCACTGCAGGTCCCAGGGGCCTCGGTTTCCGTGCCCTTCGTGGTCAGAACTAAGTGGGTGCAGTTGTCTACTCTGGAATTCCAGGAGACCCAGCTCAGCGCGGCCCTGGGGGAAAAGAAAGCCAGCTTTGCCTGACTGCCTGTCCTGGGGCACCACCAACATCTTGTCCTATCCACCCACCCCCCACAGCCCCTCAGGTCAGTAGCTGATACCCGCAGGCTTTACTATAATCCTTTCTTTTCCAGCCACCCTGAAAGATCCTGGCCTTAAAGAGAACTCCCTTTCCGCTGCCAAGAAGCTGAGGCAGGAGTTTCCCATCTGGAATGAGGATGGAGAGAGCAGAGGCGAGGGACGCCTCAGCCGGGTGCGGGGGGGGGGCCGCTACCTCACAGCCCCAACTCCGGGAGTGGTCTCGGGGAATCTGTCCC